AAACGAGTAAAAAGGAAAAGAAACGGAAAAGAAAAAATTTTACAGGAAAATGTGTCTTTCCTCGTGAAAATTTCAACTTTCTTTTCTCTCTCTCTCTCTCTCTTTCTGTCGAGTTCACACCGCCAAGAGATTAATTCAGGGAAGCAAAAGAAAAGTGGAACGTTGAAGTTACATCTGGCCGAGAAAAGCCAGACGTGTAAAAGGATTATTGGATAGAATTCACTTCTCTGTTATCGATCTCTCGATCATAGAATATTTTTCTCCGGATCGAAATATACGACCGGTTAAAATCTTCGAGAATTTTTCATATTCAAAGTAATTCGTTCAATTCCAATAGTCAAACAATTTTTCTTCGGATATTAGATAATATCAATTTTCTTTAATATCGCCGTATTTATTTCTAAAATTGTCGAAGATGAAAGAAAGAAAAAGAGAGAGAGAGAGAGAGAGAGAGAGAGAGAGAGAGAGAGAGGGAGGGGAGAGGAGAGGGAGGGGATGGTGGGGGAAAAAATGACGTCATGAAAATTGGAAACTTTAAATGTCCTTCCATTTTAGTTACGCCAAAACGAAATTGTAAAATCAGTAGAGAAAGAAACACATATATAGATAGAAAATTCGCTAAAGGTTATAGGGTATAAGGAAGGCAGACTGTTACATTTTTCATTTCCGTCCGACAGAAAATCCTGCTTGAGAAAGGAGGCATTAATCCTTCGGAAGGACGTTTGAGATCTCGCCAGAGGTGAAAATCGAAGAAGGAGGAGGAGGAGGAGGATGGTTCATAAATTTCGATGCACTTAGTCGCAGCTTCGGAAGGTCGATCCTCTATACTGTTGTTGCTCTTTTCGTTGGAACAAAAAAAAAAAAGAGACACACGTACATACATACATGAAGTGTGTGTGAGAGAGAGAGAGGGAAAGAGAGAGAGAGAGAGTGAGGAGAAAAAGAGGAGAGGATAGTGAGATGACAAATCGTTTGTTACGGAAGGATGAACCACTACGGTGGTGGTCTGTTATCCTCATTCAACATTCTCCGTTGGCTCGAGAAAATCCAAATTCTGATAAACGAGCTACACGAGAAATACGATGAAAAATTCGTATATGAGTTTAATATTACGAAGCCATATCTTTTTTCTCTTATTTTCGTAAACATTTGTATCCATTAGACGTCTGCCGGTATAATGGTATTTTAATATAAACTCACATGAACACGCACACATACACACACACACGCATATATATATACACATATACACACAGAAACATTGTGAATATGAAATTAGAATAATAATATCGACTTTAATGAAATTAGAAACAATAAAGTTATTCTATCATGTTCAAATGGTGTAAAAAATTTCAAGATTAATGAAATCCCATCGGAGAGAAGAAAAAATTTTACGTAAATAATCTCATACTTATGTAAAGCGTTATATATATATACATAAATTGTAACTAAAAAAAAATAAATAAAACGAATAGATATGACGAACGAACGATTTTACGATTGTTCTATGATATTATCGGGATTTTTTTTTTTTTTTTTTTTTTTTTTTTTTTTTTTTTTTTTTTTATGAAAAGTCTGCTGAAAATTTCCTAAGAAATTACGATGCCCGTTGTAAATACATAGAACTAGGTGCCCATTAACTAAGTGATTACATATATAGATCCTGGTGATCGTGTGCGGTTGGTTATTCTCTTTCTATCCCTTCTCTCATTTTATTTTTCGTCCCTTCATATTGCCCTTCAACAATCCCCTTTGAATCCTTCTATTTTCTCCTCTTCAATGCCACCATCCTGTCTCCATTTTCCGTCTCTCCTTAAAATCGCGTCAAAGATCGAACGCAGGAAACCTTCCTTCCTATCTTCCTTACTTTGGTTCAACCCTATCTTCCGTGCCATAAATAAAATCTCACTGTTGTGTTAGAGTTTATATGCGCATGTAGATATATACGTACGAGCTAACAGATGTTAAGACGATGAAAACTCGTGTCGTCGACTTTATCCTCCTGTTTTCGATTCGGTGAAAGCACAAAATACACTTATACTTATACCAATACAATCAATGTATAAACACATACACACATACACACACACACACACACATATACATACATATATACAAACATACACATAAATTGTTTTGAAAGGAGGAGCTTTTTTTTTTCCTTATTTTTTTACTTTTTCTTTCGCTTTTGTTTTCGTTTTTTTTTACTCTTCTCGATGAAATTGTTAAAGAGTGTGAAAAGAAGGATCATTTCGATCGGAGATAGATATTTTCCAAATATTGATCACTTCGTGAAAGCTTCGAAAATTGATCATCGATTTGTAGAACAATTTTGTACAATAGACAAACATTGCGCGTTGAAATCATATCCATTGATTAAATGACAATGTGATATTATTTTTCCTTAGAAATCACGAAACGATACTAAGTTTGAAACTATGAATGATTGAATAATTAGATCGGATCTATATCGAGGCCGAACGATAGGAAAACAATAATA